AAAAAAAAAAAAATGATTGTAAAAGAGTGCAGATAGAGAACATCAAAATGTTTTACATGTATTGGGATGGAGGTGATGCTGATTTAGTAAAGACAGGAAAGATCTAAGCTATTTTCTAATACACTTTGTCCATGAATGGGAGTTTCTTTTAAAAACACAGTGTAAATTGTTAAGTCATGAAGCACAAAGCTTGTAATCCCCAATTAGACCACTAATGACACACTTGGTGCTTCTACAGAACTACACTACATTTCCAGAAAGCTCATTAATAAGACTCCTTATATTGCATAAAATTAATTATATTCAGCATTATACAACTTCAAAACATTGACAAGAGTTAATGCATAAATTAAAAGATCAAAAACATACCAGATACAGCAAGGAAGTCATCAATGCTTGTAATGTCATCTACAGCTTCAGTGAGGACATGTATATAGTTCTCCCATGTGTGTTTGTACATTTCCATGGTGTTTTTTACYACTTGACTTTTGGGTCTTGCAGCCAAAGCAAGCGCAGCATTAATAACCTGAATAGATAATATAGAATGCTTACAAAGTGATTTATTTAGAAACAGTTAGTAATGTGCAGATAGCAGTTATTCTTTTTTAATAATTTTACATATATTTATCCTTATCAACAGGGTATAATAAAATTACTTTAATGTGTAATCTCCTCTTTGTTTTTGATAATAGATTAATTYATAATTTAAGAAATATTAAAAGTATCTGTTGAGTGTCCTTATCAAATAACTGTAGGAGATTAAAAGAAAATTGGTGTCTACCTTTAATAAGCTTTTATATTACTCAATGGGAAGGCAACACATAACTAGAACTTAAGTTTTTGTATGATAAATGCCATAAGAACAAACAATGGTCAATAGCCTTTAAAAAAGGAGAGATCATCTTCAACAGGGTGCCAAGAAAAGGCTTTGAGGAAATGTGACATTTTAATGGTGCATTTGGATTCACATCAGACAATTCCTGAATAAACTACATAAAAATCACTAAAGGAGAACTTTTACTTACTAATGGGCTTGTAGGTATTCAACCAGTAGGTATTTCCTCATATTTTCATCCACTTTATATTTCAAATGCATACCAAGTATCTTTCATACATCAAGCACTGTTTTACGTTTTAGAATTAAGGCAATAAAGAAGACACAAGCAAAACTCACCACTTTAATGGAATTAAAAGAAGGTCATCTTAATTCCAGTCAAAGAAGGCCAACAATTTGCAAGTCAAAAAAGTATGATCTTTGAGATAGTTATGAAAACTAATAAGAAAAATAATAGGATAGAAAAGAAGGATGAAAGTGGAATGGTAGAAAGTTTCCAATTTTAGGAAGGCCTTGCATTGAAACAAACACGAGAATAAAATTATTGGCATGAAAGAATTTTGGAACAGAGAAGTTGCCAGATTCAAAGAGGGACAAAAATGTAAAATTCTGTGAGAATAGTAAGCCTGAGTATACAAAAGGAACCAGCAGGCGTTCCTGACTGTCTTGCGTGGGACTGTAGCCTTATTGGAAGACACTGGAGAGTCATGTTGACTTTTGGACAATTTGCTCAGAACTACACTTTAGAAAAATTAATTTCTCAACAAACATGTGAAGCTATTGCAAGAGGTTATGGGGTGAAAAGGAGCCTGAACTGCAATGGTGGAGGTAATGAAAAGGACTTCACAGGACTTCCAACTAATTAAAGGAGGATAAAGATAGGTCAAAGATTATTGCCAGAAATACCATGCAATATTTAAAGACATGAAAATAAAGCCACTGCAGAGCAATAATAGTGGGTTACAAAATATGCTTCATTGATGACATTTTTATATATAAAATGCATGTAAACATGCTGCATGAATATGTACAATAGTTGATGGTTCTCTAGGAGGTGGAATTTCAAGTACTTTGTCTTTCTTTCTTTCTTTCTTTCTTGGTTGTGAATTTGTCAGATTTTCTATGATGAATGTTTAAGTGTAATATTCAGAATAGATAAATGAAGTTATTCTTCAAAAACTGACAATTATGAGAGGAATTAAGATAGTGGAGTAGAGGCAGGCAGCAGGTTTCAACTCCTCTGTGGTTGGATTCCAATCAGTGAAAGATCAGACAGGTAAGTGACAGAGGGAATGCACTGAGACAAAATGTTGAACTGTTCTTTTAACAACTTGGAGGTTCTGGAGCAAGAAATGGGGAAGAATTTGTTAACTCTCACAGGGCAGATTGGGTGGGGGAATAATAAAGAGGGGAGATGTAAAGCTGATAAACTTTTTTCAGAAATAGTGGTAGAAGAGAAAGACCAAGTTGCACTGGGAAGAGAGCGACAAAGCTGACTGGTAACAGAGGAAAACTCTGTTTCTCTCAATTTGCTGGTGGAAAATTTGCCACCACAAGCCATTTTTTCAGAGACCATGCCTAAATGTGTAGCTCTGGAAAGGATTAAATCTCTATGGCTTAATTTCATCAAGAGGTATAAGCAAATACCATCACAGGGAACACCTTTGAAATATGCCATATGAGTAATATGTATAGTGAGATATCTATGAGCTGAAGGCTGCTGATCTACTTCTCCTCCTTTCTTTTTTTTTAAATTTATTTATTTGGTTTTAGATATACATGACAGAGTATATTTTAACATATTATACACAAATGGAATATAACTTATTCTAATTGAGATTCTTGGGTTGTACATGATTCACTAGTAATGAATTCATTAATGAACATAGATAAATCTGATTCATTCTACTGTCTTTCCTATTCCCATCCCACCTCTCTTCCCTTTATTCCCATTTGTCTAATCCAATGAACTCTTACTCTACCCCCACCCACTTGTCGTGTATTAGCATTCTCCTGTCAGAGATAATTTTCAATATTTGGTTTTCTGGGTTTGGGTTATTTCACTTAGCATGATAGTCTCTGAGCCATCCATTTACCAGCAAGTTATAAATTCATTCTTTTTTATGACTGAGTAATATCCCATTGTGTATACATACCACATTTTATTTATCCATTCATCTATGAGGTTCTCATGTCCTATATAGCTTAATGGTAATTTTACTCATTTTAATACTTATATTTTTAGTCTTCTAGAGTATTACTCCCCTTTTCAACTTTTGGACTAGTAAAATTCTGGGGACCATTTTTATTTAGTTTTTTTTTATGATCTATTAGTAAATGGTTTGTCCTGAGTGAAGGCAGTTGCTGGTGATTATTATCTCTTYTCACTGTAGTGATAGGAATTGATCAGAGCACTGTGATAATGTTGAATGAGCGCTTTGAAATAAAGATACACACCCAGACTGTGCAGCACATGGTAAATAGAAAGTTGTTCACTAAAAAGACTCATTCATAGCAGTAGAAGAGACATCTGTCCCAGCAGATGCACAAATATCAACAGAGAAATTAGAAAACATGAGAAGTCAATGTAATAAGATGTCGCCAAGATTTTGTAACACTCCGAAACTGATTCTATAAACATTAGAGAAAATGCCAGATGAAGAAATCAAAAAGTTGGTTGTTAGAATTATCAAGAAATTAAAAGAAGATCTAAGGAAAGAACTAAGGGAGAAAACACAAGGTATGAAAGAGAATTTCATAAAAGAGAGATGTTAAAAAAGAACCAAACAGAAAACTTGGAAATTAAAAACTCAAGTAATTGACTCCCCTAAAACCAAACCAAACCAAACAAACACAAAAACCCAGTCTAGTCTTATAAACAGATCAGATTAATCAGAATAAACAGTGTCAGGGCTCAAAGACAAGGTGCAGGAATTAGAACAGCCATTATATAAAAGAAGGAAAAAAAAAAGAAACTATGAACAGAATATACAAGAACTCTGGGATGACAACTCAAAGGCAAAACTTAACACTTACAGGTCTTTTGGAGGAAGAAGAGATATAGACTAATGGCACAGAAAACCTATTCAGTGAAAAAATAGCAGAAAACATCTGAGTCTTGGATATGAGATGGACATGCAGGTTCCAGAGCCATTCAGAACTCCAAACAGGACCATTTTAACTACTCCATGATGTAGTTAAAATGCCAAAAATTCAGAATAAAGAAAAAAAAAATAAAATGCAAGGGAGAAGTACCAATCACTTATAAAGCTATTATTTTTTTTWAAAAAAACCCTATAAATAATTAGAAGGAATACCAGTAGAACAGAAAAAGGGAAACAAAAGGTGAGAGGATGAGAGAGAAAGAAGACGTCATAGGTACATAATTGGGCAAATTATATTCCAAGCTTTATGATTATGTCAAAATGAACCCAAAATGTTATGTATAACAATACTGCATTAATACAAAAAAGAATAACAAAAGTCTTCCCAACAAAAACTCTAAAAGCCATGACAACATGGAATGATGTATTTAAGTCCTAAAAGAAAATAACAGCAAACCTTGATTACTATATCCAACAAAGCTATCCTTCAGAATCGAGGAACAAATAAAAAACTACAGTCTTTTTAACTACAAGAATTCATGACCATTAAGCTAGCTTTACAAAGGATCCGTAACAGAATCCTATACACAGAAAAGAAAGATTAAAAGTAACAAAGAAAGCATGGAAAAGAGCAAATCACATTAGAAAAATAAATAAGCTAAATAAGCAAATGATCATTATAAATGTTTCAAACATTAGAAATAAAATAAAATGGCAGGAAATAATACATAGCTCTTTATAATAACAGTGAATATAAAGTGGTCTTAATTCTCCCTTTGAAAGATAGAGCCTAGCAGATGAGATTTTTTTTGAATACTCAATTGTATTTTGTCAGTAAGAAATGCACCTCACAAAGACATTCAGAGATTGAAAGTAAAAGGGTGAAAAGTGATATTCTATGCTAATGAAATGAAAAACAAGCAGGAAGCAATCTTTAAACCAGTTTTTCTTCAGAAGAGACAAAGAAGGACATTACATATGGGTAAAAGGAAAAATATCTAACAAAAGATATGATTATAAATATTTAAAGTGTGAATTACATGACATGAACATTACTTGATAAAAATAGGACTGAATGACTTCAATACAACCACTTTCACTAAGAGCTGCTCTACCCAAAAGATCAACAGACCCATCAGATTTAGACTTGACTATAAATCAATTGGACGTAATTAACATGTATGAAACATTTTATCCACAACAACTGAATACATTTTCTTTTCAGTTACTCATGAAATTTTCTCCAAAATTGATATTTTACAACAGAAAGAAAATCTTGGCAGATAAAAAGAAAAAGAGTGAAATGATCTCTCTTTTCAGAGTATACTACAGTGAAACTAAAAATCAACAACAAGAAAATCTGTAGGAACTATAGAAATACCTGGGGATGTATTTACTTCATAAAAATATTTTATTGTTGCATTCTAATTATACATAATAGTGGGATTCATTATGCCATATTCATAAATGCACATAATTTGATCAATCTCATTTCTCACACCTTTTCTTTTCCTTCCCTCCTGTCTCTCCAAATCTGCTTGCTCTACTCTAAGAGATCCTTTCTATAAACATAGAGCATTCACTGTG